GATACTTCAGTTTTGGTATGTAAGCATACATAGATATTAAGAATTTTAAGGCTGGGGTGCCTGGGTGGCTCAGTCGGTTAAGTGCCTGACTTTGGCTCAGGTCATGATCTCACAGTTCGTGAGTTCAAGCCCCACATTGGGCTCTGTGCTGACAGCTCAGAGCCTGGAGCCTGCTTTGGATTCTGTGTCTCCCTCTCTCTGTCCCTACCCTGCTTACACTCTGTTTCTCTCTCTCAAAATTAACGTTAAAAAAAAAGAAAGAGAATTTTAAGGCTAAAGTTTTCCATAATTACCTAAATCACAATCCAGAGTATTAATTTGAAATTATCTTGTGTATATTTTAAGTATATTAAAATGGTCTTCCCACTATACCTACTAGCTACAAATGGAAATGCAACATTCACAAACTCAAGTTACCATACTCAATTATAAAGACTTAATTCACTGGGAAGGGCAGGGGACAGGACAAACCAAACAACAGCAGATCATGAAGAAAGAAAGAAAAGAACCTGCAAGAGAATTTCTGAAATCAAACGTGTGTGGAACTTCCTCAGAAGGTTAAGTGTATTGAGGCACTGTCTCTCAATGAAGAGTTCCAGGTAAGTTTTATTGCAAACATTCCATTATAACAGGGGCAAACAGCTCTGGGGAGAAACTCTCCTATGTCAAATGTTGCCACCTGCACCTACTATTAAGAATAAATACAACTGATGGAAACCAATTTGACAATAAATTTCACATATTGAAGAAAAAAAAAAAGAATAAATACAACTGTATCTGAAAGACCATTTGCTCCATTTATAGGCTGAATTCTATTTAAAAGCTACTTTTCCCTCAATAACTTATTTTGAGTTGCTACTTCTCAGAGAAGGAAATTTCGAGTATAGGTATATTGCCATAGACACATTTCCAGGAGTACTTTTATTGTAAAATACGGTGCAGAACAAGTAGCAGATCAGCAGCTATGGAAACTAGGGGACCTGGGTAGGTAGTAACATGCAAAGATCATTAAACAGACTGGCCATCTGGAAATAGGCCTATTAAAGCATCTCCCCTACTTTGAAGACTGGGGATATTTAGGTTCCAGATTTCAAGATGACTCAACAGTTAGGTAAGCAGGATACATCATCATGATTCATTCCAAACACTGATTATCCTCTATATGTTCCAAATATTTTAAAACCTTGAATCAATTTATAAAAGATTACCAGTTACCTACAGATTAAAATTTACATCTGTTCCTATGGGAAAGCTATTATTACCACATCCAGTTACAGGAATCATAGCTGGGACAATGCCATCATCCTATGAAGTCTTCCTATGTAAAACACACCTAGAAATCAATAGCCATTTTCCTAAAGAAAACAGCTTCATTCTCAAAACACCAAAAAGAGTTCTTAGGAGGTCCAGGTATTCTACCCACCTTGTTCTTCATGATCTTTGAAGTGCCACCAATAACCTTTGGAAGGATGATATCGACAGTAGGACATAGCTTCATCAAAAGCTGACTGAATGCCATGCACTGCAGTGAGCTTGTAAAAAGAAAACAAATTCTGAATTTCTCATTAGATCAACTAAAATCTCCAAAGTAAACACCCACAAAATATTACATATGCAAAGATAGTAATTTTCTGGGGTTTTTCCAGAACCTGAATCACTATAGAGCTGGGCTGTGATGTATACTTTTAACACGGACTTGGCCCATAGTAACCAATGTTCAAGATATTCTGATAGTCAACCCTTCATACCAACCTACATGAGAAAGAGAAGGAGAAGCTTCTGTTGGATTCCTGGATACTTGATTAAAAGTTGATTGATTAAAAGTTTTGATTAAATATAGCTTGATTAAAAGTTTTGTTTAGTGTTTCAAGAATGTGAAGATACTTACCACCCTAGAGTTTATAACTGACCCCAAGTCTGGTGCCTGATAGATCACTCCAGCAATGATATAGTAATCAGCCAGTGGGATAACTAAACCAGTGAAAATAAAAACATTCATGAATACAGCTATGCATACAAACTGCTAAATAGATTTTCATAAAAAGAACAACTAAAATTTGCTATTTTTCCGTATTAAAGCTTAAGGCATGGTTTGGCAATTCCCATTTTTGTAAATAAATTTATATTGGAAAACAGCCATACTCATTCATTTATATTATCTAAGGCTGCTCTGACACTGGTTGAGTAGCTGTTACAGACTCCACGAGGCCCTCAAAGCCTAAAATATTTACTCTCTGGACCGTAACAGAAAAGGTTTGCAAACTAGAGCAGTGCTTCTCAAACTTGAACGTGCCTCTGAATCACCTGAGCATCTTGTGAAAGTCAGATTCTTATTCAGTAGGGATAGTGCATTTTTAATAAGTTCTCAAGTGATCGAACGCTGCTATCACTCAACTACACTATGGAGAATAAGACCTTAGAGTGAGAGATTTAGGGCCCAGGGTGAAGATATCAGATGCACTAAACTTGCCACTGCAGGGACGCCTGGATGGCTTAGTTGGTTAAGTGTCTGACTTTGGTTCAGGTCATGATCTCACTGCTCGCGAGTTCGAGCCCCACGTCAGGCTCTGGGCCAACAGCTCAGAGCCTGGAGCCTGCTTCGGACTCTGTATCTCCCTCTCCCTCTGCCCCTCCCTCACTTGTGTTCTATCTCTCAAAAATAAATAAACAACAAAAAAATTTTTTTAAATAAACACTAAAAAAAAAAAAAATTTTTTTTTTTTTAAACTTGCCACTGTGCCCCATTCCTGGGTCCTAAAGAAGAAAACAGCTGCTAGTGAAGATGGTACCACCTCTGTCGCTTCCATACCTTGAACCCTCTCATCATGGAATTCTTGTTCCTGGTCTTGCCTTTGTCTAAGGTTCTTTTTTCCTTGGGGAAGGGGCTCTAGATCATTGATTTTGAAATTACATTTGGATTCTTTTTTTAAATTTTTTTTTTTCAACGTTTATTTATTTTTGGGACAGAGAGAGACAGAGCATGAACGGGGGAGGGACAGAGAGAGAGGAAGACACAGAATCGGAAACAGGCTCCAGGCTCTGAGCCATCAGCCCAGAACCTGACGCGGGGCTCGAACTCACGGACCGCGAGATCGTGACCTGGCTGAAGTCGGACGCTTAACCGACTGCGCCACCCAGGCGCCCCTACATTTGGATTCTTGATTCTGGAACCACAACTTCTTTAGCAAGTCATTCTTTGCTCAAGAACCAATACCAGGGTGCAGGTTTTTCCTAAATGTCTTGAAAAGGTTATCTAATGAGGAGATAAAGCTGGTCATGCCTGGAATAGGTGACTAGCTCTTTGATTCAAAGTCAAATCTGAATTCTACACCCTTCAGTATGATTTCTAGAGCAAGTTTATGTTTAGTAATAGAAGCCAGGTAAGAATTTTGGTTGAATAGGTCAACGAGGATTTTCAGTTGATCCTCTATGAATTTGTAACAGAATTAGACTCAGTGGACTGAGATGAGAAATTACTTAGGGCACCAGAGGTTCCCAACAACTATACTCACAGAAGAGGTGGCTGCAACATAGCAAGTTGCTTTGTTAGTGCTTACAGAGTTGTCCTTGGGCACGCTAGAAGACTCCTGATATCCAAGCATATGACTAGTGGAACTTGCCTTTTGAAACATTTCCTAAGTGGTGAATTTATGCCTGCTATACTACAGTGCCTAGACAATGTGTCTGTAACAACATGGTTACAATGGAAACATCATTTCCTTCTGAGAAGCTGGAATTTTGGCAGGCAGACAATGTCCACATGATTAGCCTTCAAAAGAAATTGAGTATCAAAAGGCCTTCCCTGAGCAGACATATTACACATGTGCGTGGGGGCTGCTGGAGGGAGGATGCACTTGGTGAGGCAGGGAAAGCAACGGAAGCTTACACGTGGATTCCCACAGATCCCACTTGATATGGCTTTTTCCCTTATTCATCTGTCTGTGGATCCTTACTGCATTGCCATAACAAATCTTGATTATAACTAACATACCTAGATGCTGAGTCTGCTGACTCCTCTTAGCAAGGCACTGAACATGCAAATGGTCTTGGGGATCCCCCAAACAGACCCCAATCCAAAAAGATAAGAACTTGTGGCTCAGAAAGTTAAGTAAGCCATGGCATTTTAAGAAGAAAATTATGCCTGAAGTCTACACATTTTTACCTTGGGTAGGGGACTGCCGCTGTTGCTTCCGAATGATAAAAAGAATGGGCTCTTGAGCGTGTAGAAGGATGTATTCCACTCCAACCATTTGACTGAAAACAGAACACAGACACCCAGAGATCTATGAATGCCCAACAAACAACTGTGTAGAACGTTCAGATTATTATATAAAAATACAGCAACGTTATAAATTGGATTAAAACTGCCTATGTTTGATAATAAAAACTGGCTGTCCAATAAAACTGGCTATTTTCCCAGATAGGTGGGATATAAAGTAAGATTTGATTTTTAAACAAGGTTTCTCTATAAAAATTCATAATAAACTTAAATCTGAGCATATTCAGTCATAAAAGTACACTGAAGAGTGTACATTTCAAAAAGCTGCAACTAAAATAGCATGATGCTTCCTGAGATACATAAATATATGTAAAATCTAAAAATATATAGTACATGAAGACTATACATGTCTTGACCATATATTTCAACTCTATATTCTACTCAACTAGAAAACATCAAAAACCTTATCCTTCCAACACATTTTTTTAACCTGCCAGATTGCTTAAAAGCAACAAGTTGTTCTAATAGTTGTAAATATTTGCCTCATAACAAAAGTCATTTAAAATACCACAGAAATTTAATTTCATGAACCCTCTCTGATGTTTAATGATAGATTAAAAACTATATACACAGCTGTTTCAGAAACTTTTGTAATAATTCTTAATTATTTAGCATCCTAACTCTGAAGAAATACTTTGCAATTGTCAAGCACAAATTTTATTTGTCATACAAAGAAAAATCTACTATAAACCAGACTATAGTTTAAGACATTACATTCAATGTAAAAGAGACGGTAAGGGGCCCCTGGGTGGCTTAGTCGGTTAAGCGTCCGACTTCAGCTCAGGTCATGATTTCGCGGTTCATGGGCTCGAGCCCTGCGTCGGGCTCTGTGCTGACAGCTCAGGGCTTGGAGTCTGCTTTAGATTGTATCTCCCTCTCTCGCTCTGCCCCTCCCTCTGTCTCTCTCTCTTTCAAAAATATACATTAAAAAAAAAAAGAGAGACAGTAAGTAGGGTCACCTGGTTGAGGATAACAGTTGCATTGCTAAAATCACTAATTAGATCTGCATCTAAACCTAATAGCTGTATTTTACTAGACAGTAATATATGAAATTATACAGAAAAGACTTCCTAGGTTACAAGTGATTACTGATCATTCTTTTGCATGTCAAATTTGTACAAACCCAAACAAAACTCCAGTTCTTCCCAAACTTCTACTCTGTACTCACTGTCCATAGCTTGAAAGAACCATTCATTTCAAAATCTCTAACTGGCAACAATGCTATCTTCTTACAGTAACTTACTTTAAGTGTTCTAATGTAAGCCTCTGCATTTTGACCACTTCATTATTACATGTCCTGTCGTAGAAAGGATTACTTCTTTCTGAAAAGTAATCCAGGACACTTCCACTGTTCAAAATGGGGATCCAGGAACTGTCAACCCAAGAGATTCCCAGCAGATTATCTATAGGAAACAAAATGATAAAGGATGAGAAAAAAGTAAAAAAGCCAATCCAACATTTATTATGCATCTAATGCAGGAAGCATTATGAATATAAGGATGACAAGGATCCTAACCTATACACTTTCACAGAAGAGGTAAGTGTGCAAGAAAGCAATAACAAGGTGACATGATAAGCGCTAAAATAAAGATATGAATAAATGTGTTATCAGAGCACAGTGGAGGGAGAATACTTTGTCTGAGGGAACAGTAATGATTTTTCACTGGGTGAGGAGGAGGTGGGTTTTAGCACTACATGTTAAAGAATAAACAGGGGCGCCTGGGTGGCTCAGTCGGATGGGCGTCCGACTTCGGCTCAGGTCACGGTCTCGCGGTCTGTGAGTTTGAGCCCCGCGTCGGGCTCTGGGCTGATGGCTCAGAGCCTGGAGCCTGCTTCCGATTCTGTGTCTCCCTCTCTCTCTGCCCTTCCCCCATTCATGCTCTGTCTCTCTCTGTCTCAAAAGTAAATAAACGTTAAAAAAAATTAAAAAAAAAAAAAGAATAAACAGAGGTTCATCTAGGACAAAAAAAGGCGGGGGGGGGGGCGAGCAAAGTAATTTCAAGCAGAGAGAATGCACATACAAAGATAGACCAATATAGAGGTGGGTGGTTAGAGAATAATTTGATTATGTGAAATGATAGGATATAAAATGTAGAAAAGTCTCAAAAAATTGGAAATCCTGAGTTTTGTTCAAAAATTGTCAGACAACATGCATCCCAAAGAAAACACACCCACAGCCACCAGTTTGAGATCTCACCAATTAGGGACAGAGAAATAAGTTAGGAAGCTATTAATATAGAGGAGATAATGAATGTAAAAGTTATGAAGCTAATGAGAAGTAGAATGCCCTTAATTACATACAATTTCATATTTTGGAATAGAATTAACTCTTTAATTCTTCAAAATGCAAAAAGAAAAACAAGACATGGTAAACAGAACTAGATAGCTTTAACTACTGAGCTTTTATTGGCTATTGATTGCAATAATGTTCCATATCATTGATCATACTAAATCCCATTAAGAGTAAGTCTGAACATCAAAATGCCTATTTAATACTGGTTAAAAAAAGGAAGAACTGAAAACTTCAACCTCTCTAAACGGTAATTGCTTCTGGCACCTCTGAAAAAAAAAGACCTAATCCAAGGCAATAAGCGGTTCTGAAGGAAATGAGTAAAATGAGAAAAAGTAATTACATAAAGGTAAAATGTGCTGTGTGTGTTGCAAAACCAAGGAAAAAGCAAACAGATGAAGTACATCAATGACCAAATAATCAGTACTGACCATTAAGATGGTTCATCATAACTACATCATGCCATAACCAAATATCAGGCCAGGAAATAACTTTTTCAGCAAAAGATTTTTTTAATGAAAAGCAACTAAGGATAATCATTATTCTCAGCTTTAAACACTACAATCCAGTTATTAAAGTAGTTTTCTTTAAAGCAACTTTCTTACACATTTCTTTCTTATTTCTTTAGGAATGATTATTAACAAAAGCATTTGTAGATGGACAATTATACGTTTCTCACATAATGGAACTATGTCTGTATGATGTCATAATAGGTTACTGACAATAAACTGTTAAATTATTACAGATCATTTCAGCATAGGTAGAAGAGTAATTTGCAGAAACAAATGTGTAATTAGAGATTCTACCTATCAACGATTATGGACAGTCAATAAATATGGGCATGAGATAATGAAGACTGGTGGAAGGCAATGGCGATGCATGGGAAAATAAGGACAAATAGACATTCTTAGGGGAGAAAACAGACAATTTCCTGAATCATCAATTATAAAGTCAGAGAACTTAGGAACCAATACTCATTTAGGAAAATAATGATAATGAATTTGGCTTGGATATATTAAGTTAAAATAAGGAATCAGAATTCAGAAGGAATCATAAATGCCATCTGCACCAAGTGACTGTTCAGTATATTTTCCCTATAATTTTCTTCACTAAGATGTATCCTGATCAGCAGTCCTATGTCATATTTTCCTCATTTGGTAAACTAAGCAAAGCTAAAAACCAGGCAAGTATGGCTTAGGAGACCAATACAAATGCAAAGAATATTGTTTACCGCTTCTGAACACTGACTTTGTACCGGGCACTATTTTAGCCACTTTACCACACAGAACTCAAAGAGGTTGGTACTATATAGATACTACATAGTATCCATACGCTAGGTTGTGTACATAAAATGCTTAGCACATTGTAATAACCCAATAAATGTTAATTAGGGTGATGTTGGTGGCAGTACCAACAATTTATTTTAAAATTATCATGAGTGGGGCGCCTGGGTGGTGCAGTCAGTTAAGCGGCCGACTTCAGCCAGGTCAGGATCTCGCGGTCCGTGAGTTCGAGCCCCGCGTCGGGCTCTGGGCTGATGGCTCAGAGCCTGGAGCCTGTTTCCGATTCTGTGTCTCCCTCTCTCTCTGCTCCTCCCCCGTTCATGCTCTGTCTCTCTCTGTCCCAAAAATAAATAAACGTTGAAAAAAAAAATTTTAAATTATCATGAGCAAATTTATCTCTGGCTTAATCAAGGCTGTTCTAGTTTGTACCTTTCCTCCCCTCCCCCCAGTTTATGCCTTTTTGAAAAACAGAGACTCCTTTTATTTTCAAAAAGGTGTGAGGTTAGTATATCATTTAAACAGTCATGCTAGGTTGAACTCATTTCAAATGTCAGTATCTCTCCAAAGCCTTTGTCTACTTCGCAAGACAAAAATAATGGCTTCTTTCTCTATGTTCTCACAGAAATTTTTACACTTTTATTAATACTCATAACCCAGAAATACAAACGCGTTCCCATTATATTTGACTTTTTAGATGACTGAGGCCATGTCTTGCTCATCAAGAACTTGCATAGGGCCAGATTTAAAATAGTCAGCAAATGTTAATTAATTTATGATTGAGGGCCAAGGACAAGTGACTCTACTCATCACAGGTTCACATACACTCCAGAATCCAAGAACGTTCACTTACAAAACGGTTAACTGAGATTAAGAGGGTGATATGTGGCTGAGAAAATATTACCTGTCCCACTCGAGGACTACCTGTGATCACACCGCCATGAAGAGAATACACTACTAAGTCAAACAAACTCCAACCACCTCCTACTACCTCCACTGTTACCACCCTAGTCCCAGCTACCTTGACATTTCCTTGTATTACAGGAATGAATTCCCAACTGGTCTTCCTAATTCTACCCTCGCCTTTCTACGCTGTTCTCAACAGTCAAAGTGATCCTTTAAAAAAAGAAAGTCAGATTATGATCATCCCCTTTGGTGAAAACCTCCCAGTGGCGGTCTGTTTTACTCACTGGAAAAGCCAAAGACTTGACTATGGCCTACGATCCCTACCTATATGGTCAAGCCACCAATTACCTTTCTGACCTCATCTCCTTCTCACCTCCTCTCTCTCTGCTTCAGGCATACTGACCTTACTGTTCCTTTAACACACCAGACATTCTCCCACCTTAAAGCCTTTGTAATGACCTTAACAAACCTAAGAAAAAGTAAAACATTGTGAAAGGTAAGTATTTGAAAACACTGAGGGACTAAATGTTTCTCTTTTTTATTCAACAGCAAGAGAACATGTTGACATAGCCTAACTACAGCTCTCTATTAGCAAGTGATAAAATTAGGCACTTGAAACTCTCACAATGAAAAAAAAAAAAAAAAAAAAAAAAAAAACCGTAAAAACACGGTACAGAAATGCTGAAGATCACTGGACATTCTGAGTAACTATAAATGAGAATACATTTCTATTAAGTGTGCTAGACCCCCATTTGGCTAACATAGAAAAAGGAATCTCAAAACACTTCCCTTTAAAAATCAGGTATATGCAAACAAAAATAACCCTAGGTGAAAACGATTAGGAACATATTACAGTTAGACATCTTTTTTTTTATTCTTTTTTTTTTTAACGTTTATTTATTTTTGAGACAG